GGATCAGCTAGGTGATGTTCACTGTATTTCCTTCTAAGTATTAGTTACGTTATGTACAGGACGACGCAAACGTAGGCTTTGCCTAAATGCACCCATAGACATTACATTAGCCCATTACAATAGAGTGGCCCTACACTGGCCCCTCTGCGTCTCGATGGTTATGTACATCATCTAAATCCATCACTATTTATAGCATCTATCTAGTGTTTTTTAAAAATCCCTAATTAAATATAGCTAATCAATTTATTAAATAAAAAATACTTTTTTACTAAAAAGCAAAACACATCCAGTATATTTTAATTAGAAAATGAGATATGTAAGTAAACTTTTAACATGTTTAAATCTATAAATAAACAGTGATCTTACGGTGCAATTGTATTTAATACAGTCGTCCCAGAAATTAGAGGCCGAAAACTTATCCCTTAGGGTTAGGGTTATGCCAAAGAGGACGGCCTGAGCGCAGCCCATAGTACCGGCGTTATTGTGATACAGGGGTAGCGTTAAGTACATGTTGTCTTTGTGGGTGAAATTGAAGAGCGACCTAATGATGACACCCATGTACTGAAACCGATGGTTGCGGATGACGGCCGCCTTCGGCAGACCAGTGGTGCCCGACGTGAATATGTAGTACAGTTTGTCCGAGAAGTTGCCCTTCGCTAGAGTGATGGGATCGGTTGCGGACGACTGGTCCAACAGCTCGTGTAACGGCTGCGACGGTATGTCCCGACCCTCGGGCACCACATGAGCGCCGAAACTGAAGTATCGCATCGATTGGTTCTTCTCTTTCACCGCTGGAAGTATTTCGTGAATCGCTGTCCGAAAAGAAATAGCATTTTTGTTGCATGATTAATTATTCAATGAATTATTTCATATGATTTTTGATTTTACAAAAATTTGTTATATTATATATTTTTAATAAGAAATTGTGTGCAAACAATGTTTGACATAAATATTTTTATTTTTTATATAACTTGTTATCTATGATTATAATTTATAAATGTTTAGCGAGAAATCTATATAAAAGTAAATGTTTTTGTTGGGGTATTAACTAAACAAATGCATCGCTTTTATTATCAAAGTTTTCTATCAAAATTGCGATTCATTAAGTTTTGGCTCAGAAAATAAGGTTAATTTGATTCAAATCATAATTAATTGAATGCATAACAGATACACTGCAACTAACGAATTGGCCATAAAATCACTACACATTGCAATCCTGTATTACTAAATCTCAATGAAACCAATTATCCTAAACAAGATGGTAAACACAAAAATATCTTACATTTGGCCAATTGTGGCTCATATATCACAGCCTTGCAGTTGACAACAGTGATTGAATGGGTGAGCGCTTCCAAGCGTTGATTAGTGTTGATGAATGCGGTGATGAGCCCGGCTTTGGCCAA